ACTCTACAGATGAGCTAAAAAATGTTGAAAACAGCACTTACCACAGTAAAGGATGTCAGCTGTCTCCATTATAAGATCCTATTGTTAAATGAAGGTACTACTTAAAATGGTCTTCCAAAGGGTTAAGCAGGGGTTCTATAAAGACATGAGAGTGCAAAGCAGCTTGAGCTCTACAAGGCAGTTCAATTGGTATCTACTGACTACATGCCTTCTGCAAGGCACCCAGCTGGGCAGTACAGAAAAAGATGCTCATATATATCCTAGGATGTATATGCTAAATTAGAGAGTAACTCATAACAAGATCAAATCCAGAGCTGAAGCACAGTGTTAGCAAGGTAGGATGAGAGGAACTGAAAAAGGAAAAGGGCAGTACTAAATGAAACACTAAAATAAACAAAAAAAGAAAGAAAAGAAAAAGTCCAGAAGAACTTTCTGTAGGTTCGACTTGAGCTAGACTTTGAATGGCAAATATGATTTGAATAGGGGGAAATTAGTGTGTACAGAGCATAATGACTTCTGTGTGAGTAAAATGCAGATTCTATATAGGGGATAAGCCTTTAGAATTAGGTTGGCAGAAGTTTACAGTATGCTTTGGACACAAGAATGGAAAGTTTTAGACTTCTGTTTAAGTTATTTGCTTTTCAAAGGAAGTAGACATTTACCTTGTACCTTATAAACCTAACAGTTCGTCCTGGATTGCAGCTAAATTATGTGGATACTGATATTTCAACAGACTGTAAGCATCGTGTCTGATTTAATGTTGTATCTTTTATTGGAACATAACATGCCTACATAGTATTAATAAGTACTTGGTAAATGTCTTCTGAATGGCTAAATGATTCCCAGGATGAATTAGTCAGCTGAAAGTCTAAACATGGGCTCGTAAGCCACTTAGGCTTTAAATCAAACAGCTACATCTGAAAGTTGATGTTAGAATAGTAATCCCATACATCACATTTCTGTGGAATAGGTGAGTCCATCTATAGCTCGTCTCCCCACCACAATCATAGCAGTCAGATAATGTTGAGGAGTTTATTAGGGAAACATGAGGCATAGATACCCCAAGTGACAGAACGAAAACTTTGAAAATGTCCCTTCAAGCCAAGTGGGGGCCTGGCCTTGACCTCCCCCAAATGACAAGAAACTGGTGGGTTAGCAACAACATTCTCTGGCAGCCATATCGCCAGGGCACGAGCGTCTCGGCCAGAACTGCCCCCCACCTCCCACCAAAGGTGGGGAGGAGAAAAAGACTGTTTATAGATTCAGTGCAGAGCAATGAGAGGTGTAAGGAGCGTCTGAGAGATAAAGAGAGAGACACGTGGTGAGGACCTTCACAAAGAGTTCCAGGCTTTTGGCTCTGAACACCTCAAATACATTGAAAAGTCGTCCTATAAAATGTTACTGAAAAGGTAAAATGCCTAATGTTGTTTCCAAGAGTTCCCCTGGACTTCTCCCCACAAGCCACATCACACCCCCAGATGCATATGGCAGAGCCCAAAGGCCACACTTTTGAAAAAAGAAAAACAAGAATAAGCCCTGTTGCTCTTTAAGGAGAGAGGAAGGAGCGGAAGGCTGCTGGGGCCTTTCCCACATGGCCTGTGTTCTGTCAGGCAAATTCCCAGCAGCAGCATGGCATACTTCTAGGTGAGCGTCTCACCTTTTGTCACCTGTCAAAGAAAAATTAACATTTAGATAAATTCAAAAAGATTAAAGACATCTAAAAAAAAATCTTAATTAAGATCCTAGGCAGTGAGAAATGGTAGAAAAGAAGATAGACTTGGAGTCACAAAAACCTGGTTTAAATCCAGGCCAGGTACTTAACTTCTCTAAGCCTATCTCTGCTTTCAGGTTTTTTCCAGCAGCAAGTGGAAATATGCATTCTCTCTTGGATAGCCCTTGCCCATCATACTCACCCGTGCTTCAATGTACTCTATTCTCCGTTCAAGGGCTGTCAATTTCTCATTTAGTGTTGCGAGTCTTGAACGACAAGACATATCTGGTAAAAAGAGACTAATATTCAGGATTAATGTCACTCCAAACACAGACACAGACACACACCCTCTATACTGACAAAGAGGAATAATATAATAAACAAAGTACAAATGGGAGTGGAAGGGATAAAGTGAAAAGTTTCTTAGGAGCACAGCTGCTTAAAGTAGATCTGCTGAACTTCCTACCAAATGTGGTAGGCAGAGAATAATGGCCACACAAAGATGTCCATGCCCTAATCCCCAGAACCTGTGAACATGTATCATACATGGCCAAAGGGACTTTGCAGATGTGATTGAAGTTAAGGACCTTGACATCCTGGGATTTGTCCTGGATTATCTAATGGAGCCCAATCTAATCACAAGTTCATAAATGTAGATGAGAAAGGCAGAGGAAGGGGGTAAAATGATATGAAAGAAGGGAAAGAGATTCGAAGTGTGAAAGGGATTCAACCTGCCATTGCTGGCTCTGAAGATGGAGGAAGGGGGCCATGAGCCAAAGGATACAAGTGACTTTTAGAAGCTGGGAACAGCCCTCAGCTGACAGCCAGCAAGGAAACATGGATCCCAGTCCTATAATCACAAGAAGCTGAATTCTGCCAACAACCCAATAAGCAAGGAAATAGATCCTCTTCTAGAGCCTCCAGAATGGAAAGCAGCCCGCTGACATCCTCATTTTATTTTTTTAAATTTTTTTTTGACACAGAGTCTCACTGTGTTGCCCGGGCTAGAGTGCCGTGGCGTCAGCCTAGCTCACAGCAACCTCAAACTCCTGGGCTCAAGCAATCCTTCTGCCTCAGCCTCCCAAGTAGCTGGGACTACAGGCACGCGCCACCATGCCCGGCTAATTTTTTCTATATATTTAGTTGTCCAGATAATTTCTTTGTATTTTTAGTAGAGACGGGGTCTCGCTCTTGCTCAGGCTGGTCTCGAACTCCTGACCTTGTGCGATCCACCCGCCTTGGCCTCCCAGAGTGCTAGGATTACAGGCATGAGCCACCGCGCCGGGCCAAAACTGAGATTTTTTTAAATAGCCATATCATCTATTTTTTTCTTTATACTTCTCTACACATATTAGCTTTAGAATCAGGGAGAAAGTATAAAAATAAAAAGCTATAACGTCTGACAATCTATTTTTAGAAACTTCACCAATTCCAAAGTACAGAATAGGCCTAGTGTTAGGATGTGATTGCTGCATTATGATCTGTGTGTCCTCAGGTTTAGGTGGTCTTCCAACACTGAAAGAGAAAATCACAAAAAGATAGTGACTCTACTCTCACCAGCAGGAATCACAGCGTCAAAGCTGTTCAGAAAGTCATTAGCTATCTTGGAAAAACAGTTCCCACTCCAAAACACATGGCCTATGCAGACTCTCTGTGGTTAGGGTAAGGATTACAGGATTGCTGCCATTTTCAAAGGCCTACAGATGCCCCCTCAAAGTAAACTCCTATTGCATCTTTGTGCCACCAAATAATAT